ATAAAGCAGATAAACAACAAGGACCTGCTGTACAGCACAGGGAGCTACATTCAATACCTTGTTAATAAAACATAATGGAAAAGAATACATATTTATATACATGGAACTGAATCACTTTGCTGTACACCTGAAACACTGTAAATCAATTACACTTCAATAAAAAAGCAAAAATTAAAAAAAATTAAGATACACACACACATACACACAAGAACGTGAAAAGACAGAATGGGGACCATAGCTGCAAGTCATATACCAGATAAGGGACTTCTCTCTACAATATATGAAGAACTCCTACCTCAATAATAAAAAGACAAATGATCCAACTTGAAAATGAGCAAAGAAGATGTACAAATGGCCATTAAGCACAAGGAAATCAAAACCACAATGAATAGCACTTTGTACCCACGGGGGTGGCTATAGTCACAGAAAACATCAACTGTTGGCGAGGATGTGGGGAAACTGGGACCCGTGTACACTGCTGGTGGGAATGCAAAATGGTGCAGCCACTTTGAAAGAGCGTCTGGCAGTTCTGCAAAAAGGTAGCAGTATTATCTGCAATAGCCCAAACATGGAAGCAATCCAAATGACCGTCACTGATGGATGAATGGATAAACAAAATGTTGTCTATCCCTATAATGGAATATTACTCAGTAATAAAAAGGACTGAAGTCTTGATACATGTTACAGTATGGCTGAACCTTGAAAACAGTACATTACATCAAAGAAGCCCATCACAGAAGACCACATATTGTATGATTCCATTTATGTGAAATGTCCAGAAAAGGCAAAGCTATAAAGATAGAAAGCAGATTAGTGATTGCCTAAGGCTGGGGGGCAGGGGTGACAGTTAAAGGGTGTGGGGTTTATTTTGGGGGTGATGAAAATGTTCTAGAGTTAACTGGCTGCACATCTCTGTGAATACACTAAAAACACTGAATTAGGTAGGTTATATGGTAAATGAATTACATGGAAATAAGACTGTTAAAAAAAAAAAAGTAAGGACCAAAAAACATGGCCGAGAATTACAGACATTTGAGAAAATCTTCCAACTTGAAAGACAGAGACCAAAACAGAAAAACAACAAAAAAAAGAAGATTAAAAGGAAACAAAGACAAGAAAGAAAAATACCATGATGTCACTTACATGTGTAATCTAAAAAAAAAGATGAATTTATTTACAAACCAGAAACAAACTCACAGTGTGGGTATCAAACTTACGGTTACAGGGTAGGAGGAAAGGGGTGGGAAGGGATAAAATGGGAATCCGAGATCTGCAGACACTAACTAAGATATATGAAATAGATAAGCAACAAGTTCATACTGTACAGCACAGGGAACTATATTCAATATCTGGCAGCAACTTCCGGTGAAAAAGAATATGGAAATGAATACATGTATATCCATGTATGACCGAAGCACTGTGCTGTGCGCCAGAAATTGACACAGCACTGTGAACCGACTGGACGTCAGTGAAATGTACATACACAGAAAAAGAGGAAGCAAAGACAGACGCTCTCTCTTGCCTTCTGAGACGGCCCACGCTCTGACTATGCAGTGTGTGTCTGCTTGTTCTTTAAACACCCGACCCCACACCTCTTGGCCTTTCTCTTGCCTTCTTTCTAAATAAATCTCCTTCGAAGGGAAAAAAATAAAAGGAGGCAAGGAAGCAGGAGAAAACTTAAAAAAATAATCCCCACTTCACATCCCCAGAAAGACGAGAGAAAAACTAGCCGTGGAGCAAGATCAGGGTGCAAGCCAAGAACAAGAAGGCGCTCCTAAAAATTAAAACTTTCATGGTCACAATTAAATTTCCTATAGAAGGCAGGGCAGAGAATGCCAAGGAGTGAACATTCCATTCATCTATATCACCACTAGCTACACGGCGCACCAAGACTTTACGAACCACTAAGGAAAAACTGCCATCCATTAAACTGTGCCACATCCGTGACTGAAAGTCCTTCATCTTCTGTAGAAACAGAACCCTGATTTTATTCAGAATAGCAATTTACTCAACTAAAAGACTACATTTCCCTGCGTCCTTTGCAGCTACCTGCAACCAGACAACTAGTTAAGAGCTGTGTGGGATTTCTGGGAAGTCTCCTTGAAGGCAGCTAAGTTCGCATCCCCTTCCTGATGCCTGGAAAATGGATATGAAGGCTGGAACCCCAGCAGCCATGACCTTGAGGGCAGAAGCCACGCACTGAAGATGGAGCTGCTGGGCCAGCCCTGGACAGTTCACCTCCAGACTTATTGTACAGAAAAGGAAGACAGGGTATTTATTTACGCCAATGTTACTTGGGGTTTTATGCAATATTTACTCAGGCTCATTCTTGTTTGTTTTCTGAGGGGGAGGTAATTAGGTTTCTTTACTGATTTCTGCCTGGAGGAGGTACTGGGGATTGAACCTGGGACCTCTTGAGTGCTGAGCATGCACTCTACCACTTGAGCTATACCCTTCCCCCCAGATTCATTCTTAACTAGAAGGCAACGTTAAGAAAATCTCCAAGAAAATGAATTGGAAAATAAAAAGAAGTGGTAAAAAATCAGAGAGGGTAAGTCTGGGACATCCAACATCAGACTGACAGGGGTTCCTGGAAAAGAACACAAAGGAAACAGAGGAAAAGAAATAATATAAGTAAATTTACCAAACTGAGAGACTCTCATCTCATGATTAAAAATAACTACCAAGTGCCTGGCTCAAAAATAGGAAGACAAACAGCACAGATCCCAAAGCGCATCAACGTGAAATTTAAGACTATAAGGAAGAGAGAGGGAATGCGAAGCTCCCGGAGGTGCGTAACCAAGACCAGAGCATGAGGTTTTGCCAGACAAGGCACTGGAGGAACAGAGGAATGATTCCTGAAGACCCCTTCCAGGGAAAATCATTTATGATCTAGATTCTGTACCCAAACTGTTCAATCACATCCTGAAAATAAATGACATTGCAAACAGACAAAGATTCAGAACATTTACGTACCATCCACATCTTCTCAGGAAAGTACTACAGGGTGTGTTCCAACAAAATGAGGGGGGGGACACCAAATATGAGATCCAGAAAACTGTGGATTCAATATAGGGGAGCAGTGAAAGGAGGTCTCAGGACAACAGTCGAGCAGGCCTGGAGGATAACCAGCTCAAACTGGAGCCGAACAGAGGCATCCTGGGGGAGGGAGGGAGACGGGATAAATTATCTGACGGGTTTGAGCATGTGGGGAAAAACAATTCAAAAAAATTTACATAGTGGTGATGATGGGACAGTTTGTAAAATTTTCATAGCCGGTTTATTTAGAAATGAGCCATTTAGTTTTAGGGGGGAAAAAAGTAGTGCAAGAAATAAGCCGTAATCATTAAACACTTTTTGGCTCTCTGGTGGTCAGTCCACGTGGTCAAAAAACGTACACCCTTTCTTGCTTTGACTGAATTACATAACGTATTGGATAAATTGGGATGATGAGGGGAGAAGTGATGTAACAGCCAACATTTTTCGACCGTAAATACGCAATGTCATGGTCGTGATATCAAAGTCAGGCTGTAAGCATGCTACTTGGAACTGAGGCGATAAAGTCCAGAATAAACAGTGACACTTCCTGGGATCGAGACTGGGGTTGGGAGGAGAGGGACGAGACTCTAACACTTTTCATCATAAGCCTCTTAGTATTAGTAACTCTAAACAAGCATTGATTTAAAATAAGATAAAGTAGAAGAGACTGTCACCTACTTTTCACCCCAGCACAGATTAAAATCCAGACCTTTGTAGGATCAGGACCTTCCAGAATCTGACTCGCCTCTCACCACTCTTCCCTCTCACACACGTTTACCCACGACCAGCCCCTCCGGAGGCGCCTCCTTAAGCCCCCCGTAGGCTGTGACAGCCCTTCCCAGTTTCGCCTAGTAGACTGTGCACATCCCCAAAGGCGCGGGGACAACCTCCACCTGCTCGCGGAGCAAGCTGTCCTGCAGGGTGCGAGCGCTGAACCTCTTCCAGAGGCCAGCCCTGGGTCTCCGCCCCAGCCTCCTCTGCAGACAGCCAGCCCCACGGGCTTGCTTGTGGATGAGAGCCAGACTGAGCGCCCAGCCAGGGCCTGGAGGCCACCTGGAATCCCAGGTGAACTTTGGAGTGAACATGCCTCCTTCCAGGGTAAGCACAGCTCTCAGATTATCCAAGTGGTCTGGGACCAAACAAAGGGCGAGCCTCTCTGAGCTGCCTCCTGGGTGCGGCCAGTGCGGTGACCACACAGGGAGAGGAATGTGGGTGGGGCCACCCAGGCCCAGCTTCAGGGCTCTGGAACCACCCAGAAGGCTCCAGTCCCCGTCCCCACCCCTCACCCGCCAGAAGGGGTTCCCGCACTTCCTCCCGCTGGTGTACCCTGCACTTGTCTCTTCCCTGCATCCCTTCTGTGGGCTCCAGGCGGGCAGGGAAGGTACGCCCCTGGAACAGGTACTAAGCCTCCTGGTCTCAAGGAGGTTTCGAAAGGAGGGGGCTCTACCCACACACCCCCTGCAGGGGTGAGGCGGGGAGGGCGGCGGAGGCCATGCTGTTTGAGAAGTGGGGTGTTTTCCTGGGGCTGACCTAACCTAACCCGACAGCCTACTTCTCCAAGCTCTGTGCAGCCCTCGCGGTGGCTGCCCTGGAAGCCCTTGGTCCAGCCCCCAGTCTCCCTCAAGCGCAGTCTGTGCAGGGCCCCATGGGGCCTGAGCAGTTCCAGGCTGAGCCCAACTCTGGCTGGAAGCCTTGGCATTCAAAGCCTCGGGTGACTGGGGGGGCTACCCCCCACCCTCCGGGGTCTCCTGCAGGTCCTCTCTCCGGACCACAGCCCCCTGGAGGCTGCTCCTCTGGCCGGCTGGGCGTGGCTGTGATCGCCCCCATCAGGAGAGATCTGACCTCAGCCACCCGATGGCCACTCCGTGCTTGTCCTGCCCGCCCCACGCCCACTCCTCCTCTTTTCTCCCTGCGGCCAACAACGCGCTGGGCAGAAAGGACGAGGCCACCCGAGAGCTCACCCAGAATTTGACAAGGAAGAAGGCGTTGGAGGGGCCCCGCTCAAAGAGCTCCTTGAGGCCGCCCTTCTTCTCCGGGAACTTGTCGTAGATCTGGCGGATGTCCACGGCTTCGAGGTAGGGGTCGCTGTAGCTGGGGCTCGACTGGCCGATGTGCACGAACAGATGCTTGTTGTACTGTGGACGGAACAGCTGGTCTGAGCGGCCGCGGGCGCAGCAGCGCAGACAGACCAGACCAGGGCCCAGAGCCCAGCCGAGGGCACAGGGCAGGGGACGCCACTGCGGGGGTCTCAGCTCCCCCCGAGTAAAATGCAGCCAGCAGAAGGGTTGACGGTAAAGCAGAGTCAACAGGCGGAAGGCACCTGGCGTGGTAGCGGCCCCACGGGTGTTCGGGACAACGGGGTCGCCGTTTGTGTTATTCTGAGTCTGGACTCTGCCACTAAACATCCTTTGGGCCCCGTTTTCTTGTCTGTGGTGGAGGACCACTGGCCCACGGGAGGTGCTCCCCCTTGGAGGCTGGGGCTGGGGGCTCTGTGTGCCTTGCGGCACCTCACTGACCCCAGAGAAAATCCATTTCTTGGCGGCTCACACTGGGCTCTGGGGGAAGACTATGATTAACGGGTTCCTCACCTAAAACAAAAGTTTGAATGTGTCAAAGTGAAATGGTCAGTGGAGTCCTCCTGGCTCTGGCATCCTGTCCACCTGGCCAAGTGCTACTCTGACCTCTGCAGAGGTGACGCCAGTCAGCCGGGCAGCGGACACTGAAGGGGACGGGGCGGGGCAGCCTGTGGGTGGGGCTGGACTGGTGCTTCAGACAGGTGATGGGGCTGGGAGGAGGGAAGGTGTGGAGTGAGCAGGGAAGGGACAGGGCCCTACGGTCTGGGCCTGGATGGGGCAGGCACCGTGGAGGGCTCTGGGGAGGGAGCACTAAAGGAGAAAGGGAGAGAGGGAAGGAGGCTGAGGAAAGAGAGAAGCAGGAGGATGCAGGGACAGGGGGAGGATGGAAAGGAACCGAAAACTCAGCCCCAAGAGGAGCGGGGCCAAGGGGCAGGGCGAGGAGGCCTGAGCCTTGGAACAGGAGCTAGAGGCCCAGGGCGGGAGCAGCCAGATAGAAGCCAGGACCTACCGTATCGGGGTCCTGCTGCCGCTCTAGGAAAGCAGAGAACTCCAACATCCAGAGCTTGGAGCTGGCCACGCTGCGGCCCTGCCATGGGGGTGCTGGGGGCGCGGAGGGTGATGGGGCGGGTCCTGTGGGAGACTCGAACCCTGCACGTAGAAGACAGCCCATGGGAACCCGTCCACATGGCCTCCCCGCCGCACCCCCCACCAGGCCCCCAGGACCCATGCCGGCTGGGGGCCTGCTGTCTGCCCTAATGGGGCCTCCCAGTGTGGGGATGGGGGGAAGCACTGGCTAGAGGTGCAGGGCAGCCCCTGTGGGGAGCTCAGGGCCCTGCACAGAACTGCACTTGAGGGAGAGTCGGGGCTGGACCAAGGGCTCCCAGGGCAGCCACCACTAGGTTCTGGCCCTGGAGGAGCTTCTGGTCCAGCCAGGGAGATGACTGAACAGATCAGTACAGTGACACGAGCCCGTCACTGTCTCTCCTGGCCCAGAATAGACACTCGATGCAGGTTTGCGAACATGGGACGTAATGTTCGTGATGAAAATTGACAAGGCAGGCACTCAGCTCGGCGGGCGAGTGCCTAGTCCACCGTGGAGGGGTCAGGAGAGGCCTCCCCAAGGTGACACTTAAATAAGTTGTGACGCAGGAGCAGGAGGCAGCAGGTGCAGTCGGGGAACGGGCCCTCAGGCAGAGGGCACAGTAGAGGCGAAGGGATGGGGCCGTGAGGCGCTCAGTGAGCTCAGAGGCTCAGTCTGGCAGACCTGACGGGAAGGGCAGGTTTGTGCCTGAGCTCAGGAGAGTGACCGGAGTTCAAGGGGAGCAGTGGACCGGTCAGATTTGCATTTCTGAGGAATCCTATTCGGCATGGAGGAAGGACTGGGCAGGGGTGAGGCAGACTGGAAGCGAAGTCTTTGTGTGTTTTTTCCCAGAGTGGAAAAATGAAGAAGGCAGGGGAGCGAAGAGGAGGGGACGCAGGAGGGAGCAGAACCCCAGCACTGGGTGACGACGGGACGGGTCGAGAGGGCGGTGAGGAGAACCCCAGGTGACACCAGCTTTTCCAGGCTGGGAGTCTGGGGAAGGGGAGCCCCGTGCGCGAGGCAGGTAAGTCAGGATCCCGGGAGGAGACAGAAGAAACGGTCAGAAGGGTGGGTGGAGGACCATGCTGGACACACCAGCTGGTACCTGACATATGAGCTGAATCACTCATTCATTTGTTCAAGCTCAACTTCCTGAGAGACTGCTGTATGCACCCCGGACGTGCTCTAACACACGGAAGACACCCACCAGTCACAGATGCTGCCCCAGGGACACAGAGAGGGAAGATCGAGCTTAGACTGTATCCTGAAGGCACCTGGGAGCCACTGAAGGATTCTAAGCCAGAAGCAGCAAGATGAGATTGATGCCTTAACAAGGTGACGGGGCGAGTTACAGGGGGAAAGAGGAGAGATGAGACGGCAGAGGGGAGCCGGTTAAGAGGCCGCAGCAGATGGGGGAGGGTGTAGCTCAGTGGTAGAGTGTGTGCTTAGCAAGCACAAAGTCCTGGGTTCAATCCCCAGTCCCTCTGTTAAATAAATAAATTGAATTACCTCCTCCTCCAAAAAAAACTTAATTGGAAAAAAAAAAAAACAACAAAGGCCACAGCAGTAACCCAGGCAGGACACTGAGCCGCGAAGGGAGAAGACGGACAGGAGGGCGGGAGGATGTGCTCAGAGCAGGGAAAGCCAGGCCCGATGGCAGGCAGGGCCGCTCCCAAGCCGGGAAAGGGGGTCAGGGGCGAGGATGCTGTCTTGCGCTGCGTATTGGAAGGTGGAGGGCCCCTCCTGAGAACTGGGAAACGGGCAGGGAGCTGGTCACGCTCCTGAGAGGTGGTCACGTGGGCAGCAAGGGCGGAGGCTCCATCTCCTGTCCCAGGAGCGTTTCCTCTGCTAACCAGGGGCTCCAGGCGGGACAGCTGTGCTCTTCCGGGCCCCCTCTTGGAGGAGAGGGCTATGATGTCACAGAGGGAGGCCATTCCAGGAGCCAAGCTGGATGGGGCACCCATGCAGGTGGAGTGGCCAACTTAGGGCACAGGCCCTGGCCCTCGGACTGTGCCCGCCCTGCAAGCCCTGAGCCCCGCTGGGGAGGACAAGGTGCTTGGCTCTGGGAAGAGGATTGGGGTGGAGCCAGGGGGCGGGGTGCACAGTCTGAGCAGGCGCTGGGGCAGCATCTTAAAGGGCCGGAGGTGTCCAGCTGTCGGGGCCTGGGACCAGGTCAGGAGCTTCAGGGTACGGCGTGAGAGGGGGCCAGACACTGCACCCACCTGGCAGAGGCAGCGACGGCTGGACAGTGTAGGTTTGTTGAGAGAAAGGTTTCACACTGTGGGAGACGGGAGAGAGGACGTGTGAGCCTGGGAGCAGGTTGCAGGTCTCGAGATATGCCCCCTTCCCTCCCTCCCAGGCCAGCCAGAGGGCTGGTTTCTAGCTTCCTCCCGTTGGGGTCCCAAGCCTGGGCCCTGCCATATATACCCCAGATAGACTGGAGCTTCGGCAAGTCTCACCCCAGGGTGCCCGAGAGCAGGAAGCCCCATCCCCAAGTGCAGACCCATCCTACAAGGCTAGCCCCAGACTGCGGCCCATCCACCCTGCGGCCTAGGTCCGCAGCATGAGTTCACGGGCCCAAGGGCAGTCGCGGGAGCAAGGGCAGCACCACGGCCATACTCACTCGTGGGATGTCCCGGCTTGGCCCGGCAAAGCTCCTTGCCAAAACTGAGGAGGCAAAAGCGCAGAATCAGCAGGGCTCCGCGTGCGCGGCCAGTGGTGCAGGGACAGGCCAGGTGGGGGCCTCGGCGGGAGGGCGAGGCTGGAGCCTGGACCCAGGGGCGGTGGGAGAGAGTTAACGCTACTGCCTCGAACCAGGCAGAGCGGCGTCCCGAAGCGTGCTGCAAGGAACTCTAGCCTCTGAAATGCCTGTCGACAAGGGGCTCCCGGGAGAGGCCCCCAGGCCGGCCAACGCGGCACTCGTCTCCTCCCTCAGAGAGAGGTGCACAGTGACAGTGGCACACGCGGCTCCGAGTGGTCCTAGAGCCAAGAACCCTATTTAGGTCCGACTGCCCTGATCTCCCTTATGAATGGAGTCACTGCATCCTGCAGTCTTATCTGCTTGTCACCCTGCCGAACTAGCCATCTCCACACACACACTGAGAAACCAGAGGCTCGCCGAGCACAGGGCCTAAGGCTGCCCTTCCCCGCGGGCTGGGGGTGGTGCAGAGGGACGTCCCGAAGACCCCTCAGTCCTGATGGCCCAGAAAAGCTTGTGAGGACACAGCCCTGGGAAGGAGGGGCCTTTCTGGACTCTTCTGAGTGCGGAACAACCTGGCCACGACCTAGAGACCGGTTCTCGGGCCAAGAAGTTTAAAATTAGAGAAGTGTTAGTTTGTTCCTGGACATCAGCCTCCAGCCGGAAGGAGAGCAGTGCTGAGCACCTGAGGACGGAGCAGGGGCTACTCAGGACCTGCCGGTGCTGTGCCAAAGCCTGGGGCTCACCTTCCTCTTCCGTGAGCTCGGGGCCAACTCTTTAGAGCCACAGGGTCGCCGGCTAACGGGGCAGCTTCGCCCGAGTCATGGCCGAGGCCCCCAGGAAGGCAGCTCCAACACCTGCGCGGCCCCTCGGTCCTTGGTCCCTCCTTCCCCGGCTCTCCCGGCCCGAGAGGACTCGAGAAAGCGTGGCTGTGGCCAGGGCCGGCCCTCGCAGGGGGAGGAGCGAGAAGGACAAGGGGTCTGGCCGCCGGCTCCAGGCGGCCCCACTTACCCCTGAGACTGCCGGGTCGCCCGGACCCCGGGCGAGGGCCATTTTACTGTGGAAGGCCGTGGCCGAGATGATCTGGGCGGACGACAGGGTAGCCATGCTCTGCAGGGCCTTGTCCTTAGCTGCCTGATCCTGGAGAGACATCGGAGGGAGGGCCTCAGCGGTGGGCTCTAGGGCAGGCTCGGGCAGGCGGGTCCGGGCTGGCGACAGGGACCGGGCTCCAGTCCCGGCAGTGCCGGTAGCCTGTCCTGGGACTCTGGGTAAGTGGTCACCACCCTCATCTGTCAGAAGGGCCTATTCTTGTCCTGCCCATTGCATTAGAGTTGAAAGAGATTTTGGAGACCATCTGCCAGACCACGGCTTTCATTTCTCCAACCGTGGGAACACCTGTGAACAGGGACCACCCAGGCCTTGCTCTCCTGCACCCCACTGGCTCATGGGAGATGATGCATACATATCTGCTCAGCAGGGCTCGTCCTCGGTCACATGGACTGCGACAAGGGATGGTCTCCTGTGGCCCCCACCTCAGTCCTGCCCTGTGGGTCTCTGTACCTTGACCCCCCACGGCCCTTGAACTTTCACGTCAGAATGTAAATACCGAGTGTCTGTCCTCTGTGGTCCAAAGGCCCCCCAAAACGGGTTCATCCTGCACAGACTCTTAACAAATCAGCACCATGACCCTGGTTGTAACATTAATGGTAACAGTGCTTTCTTGTCTGAGCCAGTGGGTCCCCTCCGGAGCTCCCCCATCCCGGTGGTCTTCAGCACCAACCATACACATTCTCTACTTCCAAAAACCTAGCAGGAGTTGTATCTTTGTCCAAAATAAGGCCACACATACAGACTGGACAGAAGTATTATTCGGGGTGAGGAGAATTATTGGGGCTAAAAGGTTGGATTATGTCAACTGGGGAGCTCTGATGAGAAATTCTGTATCTTTATGACGAGTTTTTTTAATGGGAACAGTAAGTGGGCCCTTTATTTAGTAATCAAGCTGGGGGGACCCGAATCTGTCCTGAGTGGTAAGCAAGCTGATTGCTGAGGGAGGTCCCTGCAGCTCACAGCTGGGTTTGCACATGACTTCACTCGCCAGGTGGGTGGGCATCACCATGGAGGGAGGCCCTGTCGGTGCAGGGGGTGCACCTAGCGTCCTGCGCGGTGCGGCTGTGGGGCCAGGCCCTTCCACTCGGCCTCTCAGGGACGCTCATGCTCAGGTGGCACGAGACAGCCCTGGCAGGTAAAGACCGCTGTCTTCTCACTGTGGTTCTGAACATCACAGCACTCCTGTGAGGCTGGCAGGATTATAGGATCCCCATTTTAAGATGAAGAAACTGGGGCTCTGAGAATTTAGGGGATAGGGTGCTGAGAGTGGCCACATGACGGTGGGCTCTGTGAGGTCTGGGGGACCCGGTAGACCAAGGAGGGGACATGCCAGGATCTGATGGCACCCACTGTCAAGACTGAGTGCCCGGGAGGCCACTGAGTGCTAGGGTGTCCTCAACCCACTGTCCTTCTGTAGCCAAACTTGGGCCTTGCTCTGGGGTCATCTCTGATAACCAAAGCCTCAGGCTGCCTCTTCCCAAGGAGGGAGGAGCCACACACGCCCAGACCCCTCCCTCTAAGACACAAAAGGAGTGGCAGGCTGTGCCCTAGGAAACCCGTAGACCTCTGCAAGCAACAGCGCTGTGAGGCTGGAGAGCCCCAACCCTCAGTGCCAGTGACCTGCATCCCTTCCCGGTGGCCGGTGTAAAGGAATGGCCAGGGTCAGCGGGCGGCACAGGGATCAGGTGGTGGGGAGAGAATGGCACAGTGACCAGGCCACTGGATTCTGAGGCTGGAGGGAACCTTAGATACAACCTTACTGACCCCAGTCATTTTACAGAGGGGAAGCTGCACAGAGCTTGAGCGGGTGGGTGAGCCGGCCAAGCGCCCGTGGCCTGGGGCAGGGCGGGGCCAGACCAAGCCTGTGACCCGGGGATTTCCACCTGACCTTGCTGTCCACCGGGAGCTTAAGTGCTTTGGACCCCAGAACCCTTTGAGACTGTGACAAAATCCTGAGATCAATCTTCTCAAAAATCTGAAAACCTGCGTATTATTTAAGGGGTTCACAGCTCCCCTTGAAGCCAGTCCAGTTGTCCACTGAAGGCTGTTCCTGGCCCCAAGTCAGAGCCTGCAGCCAAGGACAGGTACAGCTCCTGGAAGCACACATGGGCCATACAGCCAGGCCCCGCAGGAACTAAAAGCTCCCCTCGACGGCTCCAAACAGAACACCAGACAATGTGCTCTCCGTCTGGTCCCCTGTTGGGTCAGTCACAGGCTGACCAGAGAGAGAATGAGGAGCAAGTGGCCCCCAGGGCCGTGGTGTCTGGATACACGTGCCAGCCCGAGAGGGAGGGACCACAGCTGCGGCCCAGCCGGCTGTCCCAGGAACGAAGGAGTGAGCGAGGGCTGGGCCGCAGCTGTGGGGGGCGGGGGCCGCTGGGCTGATGCAGGGGAATGGAGCCGAGGGGGCAGTGGGGAGGACCCCACACACGCACGCAGAGCCTCCAGTGTCAAGGTCGTGGACTACAGGGCCAGACGGGGCCTCTGAGGTCCTCCAGTCCAGGGGCTTTTAAACTGCGTCCCGGGGCGCTTTCGGTTTTGAGAGTCATGGGGCCTGAGAGGCGACTAGGAGGAGGGATCCCTAACCGGCTTCTCGCGACCTAGCTTTGGCCAGAGGAGCTCCTCTGGTAACGTATCCGGCTGACGTTTAATTCAGGAGAAAAATGAAAGGGGGTTTCCCCTGCTTTAAGAGATGATGGTGGATTTACTGGTCTAGTCAAAGCCTCAAATGCTACCTCCTCCTTCCAAGCTCTGCTGTGAACACCTCTGTGATGGAAAGTGCACCCCCTTCCAGTGTTCACCTGAGGGCCCCGCCCCAGGGGCCAGGAAGTCTGAGTCCCGTGGGGACGGGACTCCTGCCAGCGGCTGGCCCCCCAGGCTGGCCCCCCACGTAGCAGTCACCTGCGGGCAGACAGGCCTGCAAGATGGGGCTGATCCAGGGAGGGGGAGGAGCCACCAGACCCAGAGAGGAGAGGGTGTAAGGAATTCCTGCAGCCCTCCCCCAGCATTGAACCCCACCCTACAACAGTGCCTCCCACTGCCGGCCCCCCAGGGGCTCTGGTCAGTGGCACTACCGGACCACTGGTTCTCAAGGAATGGGGCCTGAATGGCAATCTGGCTTCTCTGAGCCATGCGATTTGGGGTATGCGCTGTCTCTCTGAGCTGCGGAGGGCGGGGAACACAGCAGGAGCCTGGCATGTGCCTCCCAGGATGCTGTGAGCCTGGCCGTGCACACACACACACACCTCCCAGTCAATGCCCTTCCTGCGCAGACAGAAGAGAGGTTACAAGCTGAACCCCACTTTCCTCAGCACCAGCAAGCAAGCTGGCTCCACACGCAAGCAGCCACTCCCTAACCCAAGAGATTTTTCCTACTGGGAAAAGAGCCCCAGCTCCGGGAAGGCTGGGCCACTGCAGCCCTAGGCCCTCCCCGCCCTCCTGCCGTGGGCCTTACCTTTAGCTTGGCCTGGATCTCCCGGGCTTTTCGCCGAGCCAGCACCTGGATGTGACTGGACACCTGTGGCAGGAAGAGGCTCCTGTTCCTACCTCCCCGACAGTCGGCTCCCGTGTGGCCTCCTCAGCCCTCAGCCCTCCACAGCCCCCAGCCACATCATGACTGAATGAATGAACGGAAGGGTCGGTCGCTGATGGCCCTTGGTCCCGCCTCACCCAGCTAAATAGAAGCGCAGTCCTTCTGCTGGCCTGGAGAAGGATGGGGAGGGGTCTTCTCCCAGGTGATGGCAGCAGGGACCCCAAGGAAAGGGACCACCTGTGGCACACTCGGCAGAGCAGCCCTCCCGAGCTGGCCCCCAGAGCCCATGCCCAGTCCTGCGGGGCCGGCCCACCCTGGGCGCCGGCTACTGCTGGGGAACCTGCCCCAGGGCCCACCTGCTTCCTGGTGCGGGTCTTCCCGGTCCGGAGCTTGATGTAGCGGGCGATCAGCTCATTCCGACCTGCAGGGACACCAACAGCCTCTCAGTGGGAAGACAAGGACCAAGGAGGCGAACAGGAGGGCCTGAGGGGCCCCTGCCCTCACCCTCTGCCCACCTGGGTGGTGCCTGCAGTGAGGATTCTGCAGGTCCCCTCCTGCCCCGCTGAGATCCCAGAGGCCTCCCAGCAGCAAGAGGAAGCCGAGGCCTCGCTGAGGGACAGTAACCTGAGAGCAAGGGGACAGGGCCATGGGCCTCCTGCGGGCGGGCAGCTGGACGCACACTCGGGAAGCCCCTCGGAGCCCCCCATCTCTCCCATGCAGCCTCTGTCCCACCCTTACAGCCCGACAGCCGCCTCTGCTTCCGCCTCCTCCTGAGGCCTCTGCTCGTGGGGGAGGCTGCTGGGGAAAGCTGGCCTTGGGCCTCCCACCATCCCTACCACCTCCGTCAATGAGCAGGACCTTACAGGATGTCTTGTCCTGTCTGTGGGCAGAGGGGGCAGGGGGACATAAGTGCTGAGACACAGAGTGTCTCCAGAGAGGAACCCGGGGCCCCTCACCCAGACGCAGGAGACCCGGCCGACCCCGCTCCAGCTCCAGCTCAATAGGTCCTTCGAGCGCTTGCTGTGGGCCCAGCCTCCTAGAGTTTGCTGCTGTGAGGTCCTGCAGAACCACAGAGCCACCAGCTCCTCTCTTATTGTGAATGACACCAGGACAAGAAGTTCCTGCTTTCCAAGAGCTCACCACCCAGTCGAGGAGAGGCAGCTACCCACATGATGGCCCCATGCACACGTCAGATGGGAACCACGCTGCGTGCTCAGAGGATGGGGGCCAGCTCAGGCTGGGCAGTCGGGTGAGCCTTGAGCTCCTCCGACCACTGCTAGGATTACACCACAAAGAAGGGCACTGGTGGGGAGACGGGGGGTGAGAGGGTTTCAGCAGGAATTGTCACCTCCTTTCCCCACCTCTGGCGCCCGAGGACACAGCTGCCAGCCTGCGCTGTCTCGATGGGCCCTGCTGAGCCCAGAGGGCTGCGGCGCACAGTGAGGAAGCTGCTGCTGATGCAGGGGGCAGGCAGGACAAGACAGGTGGGCATCCACCACCTGAGAGAGCACAGCCAAAGCCAAGTGGGCCCCCAGTTGACCTTTCCCCACTGCCAAGGCTGAATCCAGAGGCCACCCTCAGGAGGTCTCGTCTGCCAGAAAGACTTGCTGGCCTGAGAGCAGGGCGCTGGCCTGTCTGTGTCGGGAAAGGACAGGGTGGGGGGGACACCGGACCCTGGGGACAACACCTGTGGGCTGGTCTGCCTCTAAGCCCGCCATTCAGCACGATGTCTGCTCTCAAAACATTCCAGGGAAAGGTAGTCCACAGGCTCCGTTGGCAGTCCGGTGAATGTGCCAGTCCCACCCTATGTCTATCCAGAGGCACTCACACTGCAGCCACGAAAGGCTGTTTTCACTGGCAGAGGGTCTGAGCATCACCAGCAGGGACTGGGAATGGCCAGGGGACTGGGGGTTGGGGAGCCAGGCTCTAGCCCAGCAGAGTTCTGGGAGCTTGGCCAGCCCCTTCCCCCTGACCTCACTCAGCTTTCTCTTCTTCAGTCTGGGCCCTGATAGCCATTTCTCACTCAAATGTGTTCAAACTGGACTGACTTCAGAAACAGACCTGAACTTTGGCTCAATGACAGCTCTCTGTGGCTCAGTTTCTTTTTCTGTAAAACAAAGGTGTCCTGAGCCCACGGGAGTCATCTAGTCCCCACGGTCCAGGGGCGGACCCCACAGGATCTATCCACCCATCCCAGCTCAGCCCCTCTCCAACCTCACGCCACCCACCCTCGGTCTCTGGGCTGTTCCTGGACGTGCAAGGCCCGTCCCACCTCGGCCTTTGTGCAACCTGTTCTCTGCTCCAGAGGCCCCCAGGCCCACTCCCTCCCCTTCACACCCCAATGGCATCTTTGCTCAGCTGCCATTATGGGGGGGCGTCTTCCCAAAACACCCCACTGAGAGCTGAGGTCACTCTCCACCCACCCTGCCTGCCCACGGCCCTCACGTCCTCCAGCGCCTTCTCCCACACCCAGTGGTTCACTTACGAAGCACCGTCTACCCCCGACTCCTGTAAGGACAGCTCCGCTCCAATACATATAGTTTATAGTATGTCGATTATATTTCAATAAAACTACAAAAATTTTAATTACAAATAAAAATTTCAGGCACCTGGAAGCAGGTGATTCTCCCTAACATCACAGGGAACCCATCTCCCCGCAGGGCAGGCAGACGGAGAAACTGAGGTCAGAAAATCTGTCCCGCTGGGCCACCAGCAGACTGAGGACGAACGCCCGGCTTCGAGTCCTGGCTCAGCCACGGGCCAGCGGCACAGTGCCCAGCAGAGACGATGCTCGGCCAATGGGGGCTGCACTCCCAGGACGGGCGGGCCTCCTGGACACGGTGGCACGTCCTCTGCAGTGAGCGTCAGACAGCCGCTGGGAGGCCCTGCCCGCCGCTGGCTGAGTGCCTCACTCACACACCAGAGACGACCCCCAGGCCACGGAGACGGAGCCCCCACCCAGCCCCACAACCATGTCCCCGCCTGCTACAGGGTTCAGGCTCTGTCCCCAGACGAGCCGTCCTGGCCCAGGGCACGGGGCCCACAGGAGCCAGACCCAAGGGTCCCAGGCTGACGCGTCTGTCATACTCTTCGAGTCATGCCTCTCCCGTCCCCTCCAGCGGAGACATGGCCTCCTCTCCCGTACTGGCTCATCTCAGACCACTGATGCCGACCAGGCCCGCTGTGCTGGTCAGAGGCAGTGCCGGCAGTGGAGGACCCCCGCGTGGGAGTGGAGCACTGGGTTTCTCCGGGGCTTGGCGCCAAGGCGAGCAGACAGCTTCCTTCCTGCCTCCTGACTTCCTGCAGGGGCCAGCCTGGCCATCCTACTGCCTGCGGACGGACTCTCACCCGGGCCTGACACAGGCACAGGGAACCAGCGGCCGCGGCTTCCTCCACTCTTGTGATCACAGTAACACTAATGAACGTCTGTGGGGCCCTGACAGGTTCCTGGACAGACACAGAGCAAGTACAGCTTGATTTGCATTCACACTTTCTTGTTTTTAAAATTTCATTTAGTGTTCATTAATTTAATTGTGTGAATATTCGCAGTGATTCTTTTTTAACGGAGAGACTGGGGATTGAACCCAGGACCTCACGCAGGCTAAGCACGTGCTCGACACTGAGCTGCACCCTCCCCGCCGCACTCACGCTCTCAGTCCTCACGCAGCTCACGCAGCTGGTACCATCACCTTCATCCTATCGGCAGGGAAATCAGGGTACAGAGAGGTTCAGACACTTGCTCAGGGCCACAGGCCAGCAAGTGGCCGACATTCAGATCCAGGCAGACTGGTTCCGGAGCCCGCCTCTTAGACACCGCAGGGTCACTTCTCTGAGTCAACATGGCATCGAGGGCCATCTCTCTCAGAAGCAGCGGAGGGACCCGGTGCCCCCAGAGGTCCCGTCTAGCCTAAGCGAGAAGAAACTGAGGCCCAGAGAGGGGAAGTGACTTACTCAAAGTCACACGCTTTCCCGGGGTCATGGGAACATCCGTTTCTAAGGCCACACCCAGGGCTTCACAATGGTTGCTTTTCCCCATGGATGCCTGCCCTGGCTGGGCTGGGGGTCTCCTCTGCCAGAGACCATTCTGCTCTGCCCCTCTGGACCAGTCCCCCCGATTCCCGGGGTCTCTGCATGGAGTAAGTCCTCGGCGATGTCTCACTGGCCTCTCCCCTGACCCTGGCCCAGGTCCGGGAGGAAGAGCCAACTGTGTGGACTTGCCCACCTGTCTTCACTCTCTCCTGACAGCGGTACCCAGGGCCCTGGAGGACAGAGACAGCAGGAGGCCCACAGAGCCTGGGGGAGAAGCAGAGACGCAGGGAGTGCAGCCCCGGCGAAGGCAGCAAGTGAAGCACCAGCAGGAAGAGACCAGGAGGAAACCCGGGTGAGTCAGTGGGGAGGCACGACGCCTGCACCCGGTCCCAGCTCGGCCACTCGCTGCCTCGCCGCAGGCCTCCGCCCCTCCGGTGGCTGAGATCACGGGCTGGGGAAGCAGGGGCCAGTGGGGCAGCTGGGCACTGCAGCGCGGCAGGTGGCCTTGGCGTGGGCGGGGCTGGAGAGGACACCCCAGACTGCGGTCCATCTGTCAGAGGACATGTGTCCAACAGCACCCAGCTCGCAGCCACGGCCCCACCCCACCGTGGGCAAGGACGGCCCATGGCACCAAGGACTGAAGGTGGGACACTCCACACCGAGTGACCCCCACTTTGCACGAACCCCACACCCAGATCACGCATGTCCTGCCAGCCACCCCGGGCTGTCCCCCAGTCACACAGGAGCAGGACAATTGTTGTCCTACCTGCAAAATCCTCTGGGACAGGCCTTCTGTGTCTCATTTCCTCCCTGTACCAGCCTCCCCCGGGCTGTAAACATGTTAAATGTTTCTGCCACTTACTAAGAGTCAGCGAAGACAGTTGTTACATCTACTAGAGTTGATAAGGTTCTGTAAGAACTAAGGCTGTTCATTTTTCAAAGTTGAAAAGGGCGTGAGCTTCCCCACCAAGTGACAGATCTGCCCAGGTAGGATCTTTGCTGTGGGAGAGAGCCCTGTGCAGGAGCGCAGCTCACCCTGCAGGCTGGGGCCCCGCCCTGATGCCCACGGCCTGGCCTGGGGGCCTCTCTGGCCGGGATCAGCTGGGACTATAAACACCTGCAGCTGGAGGAGGAGGCTATTTGTGGAGAAGAAATTTTCAGGCCTGACATCCAAGCTGTTACCACCATTGTCCCTGGAGGGCTCTGAGGCTTCAAGGCCACGGCTTCCAGGGCCCCGCCCAGGTGGGCGTGCCCCCTCGTGCCTCCAAGCCTGGTGCACAGGGTCTGTGCCTTCCTGGGCTCAATTCATTTGAGCTTCTTGAGGGCAGGGAAGATGTCCCCTCCAGCTCTGCAGCATGCACCCCACCCCGACTCTTCCCTGGGCGCCTCTCA